TTAGCTGCCAGTCTGTGGCAAGGAAAGTAAAAATACTGAAGCCCAAGATTACTGCTAAGAATAATTTGAAAAGATTGGGCATTAGCTCTGCAGGGTGGATATTTGGAGAATATTCACAGATTCATTGCCCCCCCACCAAAAAAAATGTTTGTGTAGTGTTACATCGTCTAGTTCTGTCCTGGGAGGCAAATGTTGGCTTACAGAGAGTTGTTGCAATGTAGTTAGTGCCAGATACATATTACTGTTACAGTCTTCAGTGCATCATTTTTCTTACATAAACTCGAGTGCTTTTAAAAAATCATTTGAGTTGTTTTTCAGAAAATAATCAATAGATAGAACAGAAGTACTCTTTATATGTAATTATTATAAAGATACAGAAATGGATTAAAGCCAAGATAAACAAAGATGTTACTACTTAAATACTATATTGAAGTCATTTAAAAGGTAAACTGAAAGTTTTCAGAATAAATTGTTCTGCCTTGGCATGGCCTATTTCAGCAGTGGTTTATTATTAAACAAATCATAGATAATAGGATTATAATTACTGTTTTAAGAATCTTATTATTGCCAGGCGGTGGTGGTACACGCCTTTAATCCCAGCACTTGGGAGGCAGAGGCAGGCGGATTTCTGAGTTCGAGGCCAGCCTGGTCTACAGAGTGAGTTCCAGGACAGCCAGGACTACACAGAGAAACCCTGTCTCGAAAAACCAAAATAAAATAAAATAAAAAGAATCTTATTATTGTTGGGCATGGTGGTATATGTCTTTAGGCCTAGCTTTCAGGAGAGGGAGACGGATCTCTGAGTTTGAAGTTACCCTGGTCTGTATAATGAGTACCAATCCAGACAGGGCTACATAGCGAGACTTTGTCTCAAATAGTTTGTTGTTGTTGTGTTTTGGGTTTTTTTGTTTTGTTTTTTTAAGTCTTGATACTTTAGACGTGCATGGTAGAAACTATGTATGGGAAAGCCAAAAGGAGATTTGATACGCTGTAAGCTAATCAAAAAAGTTAAAAAAAAAATTAGAAGAGTTTGAATGCAGGTGTCCTGTGTGGATAGATAAAGCTATTCCAAAAAGCCACTGGGTGTTTTTAAAGATTTGTTTTATTTGTGTGTGTGTGTGTGTGTGTGTGTGTGTGTGTGTGTGTGTGTGTGTGTG